TGTGTTTTTTAGGGGATGTTGTTGTTCGTTTTGTTTTTGTTCTTTGGTTGTTTTTGAGGTTGTTGTTGTTGTTGTTGTTGTTGTTGTTGTTGTTGTTTTGATTTGTTTTTGTTTTTTCCTTAGCTAGTTGCTCATCATTTTTACTCCAAAAAATTCGTTTAAGTTTATGGAAAACATCAGTACAATGTATGAAGACAAATGGTTGTGGGGACAACATAAACAGAAAAAAAATTTAGAAAAATATTCAAACGCGAAAGTTGCAAGGGGAGGAATCAAACGAAATGCACGAGAAAAAGAAGGCAGAAAAGTAGAGAGAGAGAGGGAGAGAGAGAGAGAGACTGAGAGAGAGAGAGAGAGAGACTGAGAGAGAGAGAGAGAAAGAGAGAGAGAAAGAGAAAGAGAAAGTGTGTGTGTGTGTGTGTATGTGTGTCAGTGCAGGTGTGTGTGTGTGTGTGTGTGTGTGTGTGTACTGGGGGGGAGGAGGGGGTGGGGTAACAAAATATATGCACTGTTAAAAAATTTGAGAGAGAGAGAGAGAGAGAGAGAGAGAGAGGAACATAAATAGAGAGAGAAAGAACATAATATGTAGAAGTGCCCTCAGGCATACACTTACACACAAGAAGAGCGTTTATATCCTTTTCCCCACTTTTTTACAGTGCGTGCACGCGCAAAACCATACACTCACTTAGGCCCACAAACCGACAAACAAGCGCAAGTACTCATAGAGGCTTCATACAAAACCAAACACATCTCATGACACGTGCATACATTATGAATTATGCACATATATAAACGCCTCGTCCTGCTATAACCTTCCCACTTTCACCCTACTCTGTTCGATGCCGTTACAGCGCTCAAACTTGGGCAAGTGTTTGTGACACCTGTCCTCTCACCTAAATCCTCCCCTTCCCCGACACCTTGTTATTGTAAGGGTAACTGACCGTGTTGTAGTACCCTATCTACTTAACTCGTTTCATGATCCCTTGTTTTATAAGCCCTAGGCGGAACGTCCAGTCCAGCGGATTTTCTAAGGAGCAGAATGTTAGCTTTTTCGATTAGGAAGAATAGCTTGCCCTTACTTCCAGCATAACAATGTAAAGGCATTCAACGTTGTTGATCATCGGTGTTGCAAAAGAGTTAAGGAGTTAAAGCATTGAAGCAGTGGTTGTTACTTGTTGGATCCTAACACGAAGTGTGACAAACTATGAAAGTATATCATATGGATATAGATCTAGCCTTTGCTTTACATTCAGATGTGTTGTCGTTTCGATGATCCTGTAATACTCTAATAGCACTAACCGGACTAAACGGAAATAGTACACGTATTGTCAATAAATAGCAACCCCAACTACCCTCTCTCTCTCTCTCTCTCTCTCTCTCTCTCTCTCTCTCTCTCTCTCTCTCTCTCTCTCTCTCTCTCTCTCTCTCTCTCTCTCTCTCTCTCTCGTACACACATATAACAACTACTCCCCCCCCCCACCCCCCACCCAAAAAAAACCCACCTGCACACCTAGCCTACCCGTTTTATATTCTTTTCAAAATCTCCAAATCCCTATTAACTTTGCCGCGTCTATTGCCTGTTACGTGAGTTTTCAAAACAGTTTATCTCCTTATCAAAGGGAAATTATGGAAAGTTCGGTTTTGAACCTGAGGCTTCCACGAATTAATCAAGATTGTAGCTAACCGCACTACAGTGGGCAGCTCTACCTTCCGCCGCTCATAAGTACTTCTTAAAGACAGATAAATAAACTTGCAGGGTAAGCTGGGGAGCGCAACGACCGTAAACCATTTAGGGCCTCATGGGCTGGTTCCAACTGACATTTATACACGGTGGGCCCAAGAAGGCTATCGGTCTGGGTTACATTCACATTTATTACGCCTGCGAGTCATGAGCAGGTTGTGAGCTGGCACTGCCTTTCAGCGGTCCGCGACAATAAGAACCAGGCACAGTCGGACCGGGGAAATAAAAATTAGTTCCAGCAGTTTCGCACAGAACGTTTCAGACTTGGCCATTTAGACCGGTGTGTGTTTATTCAATGGACTGAACTTCCCTGTTCGATTCGTGCAGCGTAACGCGCCAAGAAGGCAAGTACACTGCGGCAGATTCAATTTCTTTTTTTTTTCTTTTTTTTTTCTTTTTTTCCTGCGGCAAGAATTATAATAGTATAATATGTATTACATTCTTAGTACAATTTGTGAGGTGTGCTGACAAAATTGGTTACTTCTTGCAATCCACAAAAGGAGATATAGGCCAAAAATTGACACTAGGGTCAAGTTTGTAGATTTTCTATTAATGCCATATTCTTTAAGTATAACGTTCCTTTAATTATTTCATATTTAAACATTACAAAAAACTTCACCTATAAGCGTGATGTGTCTACTTGAATAGGGCTCGAATCCGAGAAGTAACTCATTTTGTCAGCACGCTTCACATTTAGAAAATTAAGGAGGCGAGCCGCTTTGAAGATGTCTGTCAGTGCAAACTCAGGCTGAGAGGGATACGTAGTCAGAGCAGACAGACAAAGTTACAGTACATTCGATGATCAAACACAAGCCTTCTGTGTACGACGGCGAAGAGCGTAACTGTTACACCATAGAAAGCCTGTTATTTCCTGCTGCCAACGATATTTTTTTATGCTTCCGTTTTATCTCAGTGCACTATTTCACTATCCCAGCCGTTAAAGAAAATTGTAATAAACTAAAAGTATCTTTCAAATGTATTACTTATTTTTACCTTGCAGCAAAGTCTGCAGTACCAGTATGCCCACGAGTAATGAATTCATTATCCAAAAACGACCGTGATTATTATGGGGCGAGTTTCAAGTTTATGATTTTTTTCAGGCTTTTGAGTATAAATATTCCGAAGTTTGGAAACCATGTTTTCCCAATCGAAGAATTATTCATTAATAGCAGGTTGGATAAATGTATGCATATTGACTTATTAGCTAAAATTGATCCAGGTCTGTTCTCTTCTACCTTACTTTATACTGAAGAAGTCTCTTTCTCTCTTTCTCTCTCTCTCTCTCTCTCTCTCTCTCTCTCTCTCTCTCTCTCTCTCTCT